AGCTAGTAAATACATGTAACTGATCAATATTTCAAATTTAAACTGAGACTATGCAATGCCAAATTAATACGTATATATGTATGTATGCATGTTGCAATTTATTCTGTTTTAGGTTATTAATAGCTAGAATTAAAAACTTAATTAAACCGAAAAAAGAAAATAGCTGCTGACAAAAAACAAACAAACTAGCTAGTAACTAAAATCAGAATTGAACACTTCACCTCGCTAGCATCTACTCAGAGTTGGCGTTATGCGGCCACTTAAATATCACAACAACAAAGACTAATTATATCACTAATGTAATCCTCTTTGTGATTAGACAACAGCGAAACGAAATGGTTAGAAAAAAAAAAGAAAGACAGGATGTCGATTTTCCACCAATAAAAAGAATATTATTTGATAAGAAGTTGTGAAGAGTTTTAGTTCCATTTGGATCTGACTTCTGTGAGCGTTGCTGTCGTTACACTCTCACGAGACATGTTTTCTTGTGGTGCATGCTTTCATATCTCAATCTCATAATAATGCGATTGGGATACCAAAAATATATAACGTGAATCTGAATTTATAAAGTATCCCACTACATAATGTCTTGTTGCTTTCTACTTTATACCCTTTTTATTGTATGCGATAATTCGAGTTGATATGCGAAGAATAACGTATCGCGAATCTCAATATTCAGCTAGAGTATTATTTTGATTTATATACAAACAAACTTCAGATGTAATTTGAGTAGTAAAATCTATACTATATAAAAGTTGAGGCTATAAGCCATTGAAAGCGTCCACGTAGGATTTAAGTCCTCCAATCGTAAAATGACACATCATTATTTTAGTTTATTATTTTTAGAAAATGTCATTGTTTCCAAATTATATTAAAAACGAAATTAATATTCCATATATAATTTAACTAACAAAATAAATATTAACATTTTACAAATTACTTAAAAATGTTAACTTTTATTAAAAAAATGGAAATCAAAAATAAAAACGTAATATTAAAAAAACATTATTGTCTTTTTAGATATACTAAATGTAAAGTATCATTTTTATAAAATGTCAATGTTTCCAAATTATATTAAAAACGAAATTAATATTCCATATATAATTTAACTAAAAAGTTAAATATTAAAATTTTACAACTTACTTAAAAATGTTAACTGTTATAAAAAAATGGAAAAAAAAATATTGACAAAACATTATTGTCTTTTTATATATACTAAATATAAAGTATATTTTATACAAAAATAAAATAATAATCTAATAGTAAAATAGTAAAGTAACAAAAATCATCTTACAAAAATAAAATAAATTTAATTTTTTTTAAATATCACTGTTTCCAAATTAGTTTAAATTAAAAAATATATATTATCTAATAAACTAGGTTATTAATATAGATTATTAGTTTTAAAATGTTAAGATTTCCAAATTTATATGTTAGGATTTCCAAATTTCTCTATATTAACATTAAATAGAATAAAGCAAATTATTAATATAAATTATTAGTTTTTAAATTGTCAAGATTTCCAAATTTAAATGTTTGGATTTCTANATAAAATAAGAAATTTTATAATATATGAAGTATTGGGTGACTATAAATAACTGTTAAAGTTCTAAAAGTTTTCAAAATATATGTTGAGAAACAGAGAGATATTGGAAAGAGAAAAGATATATTGATACAATGGTTGTTTTGACTTCTTCTTTGGTTTTCGAGGATCTTAGAAAATGTTTTAATAAGAATGAAGTTCTTGTTAGAATGATTCACTTTTGGGAAGCACGTAATATCTATAAGGCTAATTTGCTAATGAGTTTCGAATTATTACTTATTGATCGGTATGAATAGATTTATTTAGATATTATCTATATTATATAAAAGTTAAGGCTATAAGCTATGAAGACATCCACATAGAATTTAAATCCTCCAATCATATCATGACACATAAGTTTTTTGATTTGTTATTTAAAAAAATGTTAATGTTTCTAAAAAATATGTATAAGGGAAACTTAAAAAAATAAAACATTATATATAATTTAATTTTAACATTAAAATAACAAGTTATCTTAATTTTAATATTTCTGAAAAATTCAATATAACTATAACGACCACATAGGATTTAAGTCTTCCGATCATATCATGATACATAAGTTTTTTGATTTGTTATTTTTAAAAATGTTAATGTTACTAAAAAATAGTAGTAATAATAAATATATA